AAGGAGAGACTGAGATAGAACAGACCATCTCTGACCCTGGAGTGTACGGCGATGAATTGAGGTTTAAGCGATCGTCGGAGATGGGAACATCGTCTTTACCTTCCAATTACCTCGTGTCGATTACTTCGTCTTGTGAATCTGCTTACGATTTGTACCCTCTTAGTCCCGAGTCCATTGTTTTCTCTAGACCCTAGATTCCATTGTTAGCGTCCTATACATAAGACTCTCTGTTACCATTTTTCACAAATTTCATTGCCAAAGACTGAAACTTTAGTTTATAAGAAAAAAGTGACGCTTTTGAGTCAGTGACCAAAAAGTCGTTAAATTGGGATATGAAATTAGGGTTCTTTCGTTCGCGCCGTGGGTTTACTCGTAAGCCAGCTACGTCGACAATGGCGCCTACATTGCAGCACTTCTTCCCCAAAGTGATGACATTGAGGTTAGTGATTCTTTGTTTCTTCTAAATATCATCAACGGACTAAGATAAATTAGTCAAATTGCAGATATTAAGCTTTCTGATGATTGAGATGCATAAGGATCATATAGCTTTTCTTCTTGTTTGGTAGAGATTGTAGCTTTGTAAGCTACATTTGCATAATCTATGTACAGTTAACACATACAGACATTACTAGGACCAGAATTGCCGGTACACTGAGAGTGGAGCTACATAATTAGACCAGAGCTGTAGAATGTCAATATTCTGTGGGATGCTGGTGGTCACATCACTCTTATCGATTGGGTCATTTGTGCTAGTCTATCACGAACCGTTTAGGAATCTTGATCACAGTTATGAAACATGTCCTGGCACGATTAGACTTGGTGAAACCGTCTAGTTAGACTTTGTTGTGCATTTCTTGAAATCTTCTTTACCCACATTCATAGATCTCATAAAGACTCCACAACACTACTCTTCATCTTCCCAATGAGTGTTACCCTTTCCAAAATGGGATTCTGCTTAGATAATTGTTTTTTTTAATGAATTTTGCGAAATATCCTCGATTGAAACACGCGAAAGGTGAAGTAGAGTCGACTCTTTGCAGTGATAAGTTTCTATCAACATTTAGGTTTGGGCTTAGGACTTGTTCACAAAATGCTAATTAAATGCTTTTTGGTTAACATCAATTGCAACTGAGGTATCAATGTCATGTTATACAACTACTAAGGTATCATCTTTAGTGTCAGATTACAGTTTACATCCTCTTTTCTGTCCTGCAACTTTTTACTAACTAACCAAATGCTCCTAGATTGCGATGATGATGATGATTCTAGCAGAATCATTGCAAAATGTGGTTAATGAATGATAATCATGAAATCTTTAGAGAATAAGACTTACGAAATATAGAACAGATTGATTTCTTGTCCTGTAAACGTTTTATTTCAGTGGGAAAGAGGATTTTTCAGTGTACATGAGCAGAGATTTTGGATGTGAACTTGTATATAGGTCATAACCAGACAAATAAGATGTCACTGTAAATTTCATGGTGGTCTAGTCCAACAATGATGTCTCAGTTCTTGATGAGGAGCTAGGGATAGGGAATCCTTGCTTATGAGATTTTCTGAGATTTATTTGGTTATTTGGATCTCTCTCTCGCTTTTGCAGAGTTTCTGACATCGTTGGCCTTAAACAGAGGAAATCTAAAATGGAGTAAACCAATTTTTATGCCCACTAGTTTTTAGATCCAAGGAAAAGTAGAAGTCAATTCTCAAGAAGACTGACTAAGACTTAAAAAAATATGCAACTTGCTGAAGTCATTAGTACATGTAATACTCAACCAAAGTTATGCATACTAACGGGTCAACCCCTCCAATTTTATATGGGTATTTATTAACAAAACTGACCACGATCTTTAAATTCTGACTTAAGATCTGAAAGTGGAATTGTTTAGGCTGTATTTTGTTAAAAGTGGTGTCAGTCATTATTTCAGAATTATAAAATCTCAGTAGTTTTAGGTGTTCTACTAGTAGTTCTGCAAGCGAAAAGGGTGACAAGAATCGTCTTATTAAGATTTATGCTCATATTGTATATAAATCCAGATAGAGAGACTGAATTAAAAAAAGTGACTCCTCCCTCCAACTTTAAAAGCAACGACTAACCCATGTGGTTACTCTTAACATCAGCTTAGTCAACTGCATTTCACAAGACAATTCACATTTTTCAGAATCTTCTATATTATATTGGTATTTACGAAGGGCTTCAGTTATATATGTGTAGTGTTTCAAGTCATATATAGATCACTTGAACATAATCTTCCATGTCTCCAGCTTACAGCATCATGATCATGTCGATAAGCCGTCGATTTATCTCTCCTCTATTTGTTCTTACACTTATGATCTTCTTGGTTTGTACTGTATTTTCTTCTCCTTTTCTGCACCCAGATGAAGGTTTAGTTGGTTTAAACCATTACATTCTACATGTGTTGTCCAAAACACTCTGTGAATTGGAACTAAACTTGATTGTGTTTCTGGTTTGCTGTCTTTGCTAGTGGAAGCGCTCAAGGGTATTGCAGCGACACTCTCGGTGTGAAGTACCTGAACCTAAGTGAAGATCCATGTCTCACAAAGACTCTGGTGATATCTCAAGGTGCTCCGAATGAAGGACAGAACAGCACAATCAGATGTGACTGTCATTTTGAAAACAACACCACTTGTCATATCACACGCTTGTAAGAAACTAGACGTTTCCAATGTCCAGTGTTTGTAGTGTTTCCAATCTAATTACTATATTGTTTCCAATCTAATTACTATATTGTTTCCTCATGTCCAGTGTCCTCAAGACATTCAGTCTTCCAGGTCGACTTCCACCGAATCTGAACAAGTTGCAGTATCTTGAATCAATGTGAGGAGGGTTTGCTGTGTTTGTGATTGTGATTTACAGAGAGGAGACATAATGGAGATCGTAGATCCAATCCTTGAAGGTGATTTCAACAGTGATGAAGCAGTAAGGATGATCAAAGTTGCTCTCGTTTGCACAAACTCGTCTCCTGTAGACGATCCTCCTCCTCCTTCTTCTTATACTCTTCCTCTCTCTGAAGACGATCCTCCTCCTCCTTCTTCTTCTTATACTCTTCCTCTCTCTGTAGACGATCCTTCTTCTTCTTCTTCTTCTTATATATACTCCTTCTTCTTAATCTTCTTATACGCCTCCCTTATCTTTCTCATCGCGATAATTTCAAACTCACGATCCATTCTCCTCGCGATATTTCTTAACTTTGTTTGCTCGGTGAAGGCAAGCGGCTGATGCTTTTAATCGATTAGGGTTTTCTCAAGGCGACATGACATCATGCCCTGCCTTTTATACATCCCTTTTCAAATTTAAAGTGCATTTTAATGACAAATCAAAGCATTAATTAAATATTAATGAATTTTGAAATATTATATTTGATAATAATAATAATAAAAGTTTAAATTTGATTATTTTATATCTATATATACATTTTTAAAGGTAACTTTTTAAAATAAATCCTGGTCACAAGTATTTACAAAAGAATGTCATATTGGATTTAATTCTTTAAGATTTGCAAAACTAAATCCTTATATAAGAAAGCACAAGTTAGTTCACAAAAACTGCAACTCTCTCCATCTGACACGTGTCTTAAGTCTCAAATTTTAGTCTTTCACTTTTCTAAACGTAAACCTAATTATTCGAGAACCATAAGAAAAAAAATCTATAGAGAAAAAAAGATGAATCAATCGTTTCTTCAGCTGCTTTTTTCCCATGATCTCAAAATGCTCCACTTCGCCTCTCTTCTTCAACAATAAGAGCAACAACATGATCATCAATAACATGTATCTTCTTCTTTGCAATTTACAATTTATTTTCGCATTTCTCGAATCTGCCTTATTTTGTATCTACTAGACGCCGTTATTGAAGTAGTCCAGCTTTTTCTCGATTGGATACTTAAAATGGTTCTTGATTTTCAATCTCAGTCGTTCCTAGTGATTGTAGACCCGAGGCTGGAGGCAGTTTTCGATGTGATGGAGGCGCAATGATTAACAAGTCTTTCAAGTTGTGAAAATGCTTGAAGGGGTGATGACTTGCGCTTCAAGCCATCGTCTTTGTCTTTTGATTATGTCGTGTTGATTACTTTATCCTTCTGAATCTGCTTATAATCTGTACCCTTATTCCAAGAACATTGTCTTAAATAGACAGTTGCGTAAACCGTCAGATTATTTCTACATTGTTGTTGGCTACATTGTGAGAGAAGTGCGAAATTAGGGCTCACATGGTGATGGTCCTTGCGGTAATTGGAAACTGGAATGGATCGTACTTTAGACCATTTGTTTTTGGGCTTTTACTATTGAATTTAAATTCACCATTTATATTCAAAAAAATCTTTAGAAGCTCAAAGTTCCATGTTCCATTGATTTGCACTTTACACCATTTTGTACTATTGAAATATTGAATTGCACTAAAAACTTTAATTCTTGCCTTTATTGCCTTTACGTCTACTTTAAAAATTAGAGTCTTTGCCTTTAATGTGTTCATCATTTTTTCTTTATGATATTGGGTATACTTGTTTTGACTCTTTCTTTTTCCCTTTTTTTTTTTCTTATAAGTTTTGACTCTTTCTTGATTTTACATTTCTCTTATTTCGTCATCGTTGATAATTCACACAATCAATTTGGACCCGAATGACACGCGACAACATTATCACAAATTAAAACTAGGATAAGCTATGGTCCATTCTTCATGTATTTGATGCCTTCCTATATAAAGTCGTCGATTATATAGAAAACTTGTGATAAATATCGACAACTATTTGATTTTTGTATCATCTAGTTTAACACACACACACACAAAATGTTCTGTCAGACTGTCAGCTAAATCCTATAACCCATCTTCATTTTTTATATATAGCAATAAATTACAACGGACGAGATTTGCTGCGTCATTGGCTATCACCATTTTACAAATTTATTATCATCAGTTAGACCAACTTAATTTACCAATTTGGTTGCCAATATATAGTTACGGTCACTTCAACGCCACCGGCAGTGGGATGATCTCACTGTTCATACAATGATGCACGTGTTTAATTCGAGTCATTTTTGTCCAATAACATCTCAAATGTCATTTTGTAAATGAATAACTTGGAAGTGATATATGAACAACGTAAACAATGAAAAGAGAGGCTAATGCATTTTTAACAAAAATAACTGCGGAGAATAGTTCGTTATCGTCTACAATGTTAATGGAGCCTCTTAAATTGATGAACTTAACACATAAGGGGACAAGGAACATCACGCATTCATGAACTTTACATCAACAATAATTTTGGTCAATCATATATATCTCTATTCTTTAGTCACCCAACAACCTAATGAAATCTCTAAATATAAAAAATAAAATATATTCATTTTCTTAAAAAATTAATGGAGGAGTTCTGAGTTGAAACATATTCATCTCCCCTTTTGACCTAGTCATGTTGTTATGCTCCTTTAAGCCGCCGGTCGGTTTCTCCATAACATTTTATTTTCCAAGCATTATATAACCATTGAGTCCATTTCTGATGATAATATTGTGACTAACGAAACAAAGCACACATACAAATTAAGAATCAATCTATAACTTATCTAAATATGTTGATCGACTTTTCAGTTCTTCTTCACTTCTTTACCATCACCGCAATCTTCTTTGCAATTTCAACATCTGTTTTATCAGCTCTCCATCCAGATGAATGTATGAGAATAATTTAACCTTAATTTTTTTAATAAAATAATGGTAAAAATCCGTGTATCTATATATTTATACTTGGTAATATGTCTACGCATGCAGTAAATACGCTAGAGAAGATAGCTACTACACTTGGAGTCAAGGGATTGAACCTACGTAATGGAGACCCTTGCACTTGAGGAACCTTAACTATGGCGCAAGGAGTCTCTATTGTTCCGAATTCGGAGAGAAACAACACCATTCGTTGTGATTGTAGCTTCTACAACAACAATACATGTCATATAACAAGCATGTGAGTCCTATTATTAATTGTTCTGTCTTCTCTTCTTTAATACTTTCTCTTACCATTAAAAAAAAAAAAAAAAAATCTGGTCGTAAATTCTATTTTGTGGTTGCATTTGAGCGAGAACAGAGAGCTCAAGACCCTCAGTCTTCCAGGGAAACTTCCACCTGAGCTGGCCGACCTTCGATATCTCCGAACGATGTGAGTTCAAAACCACGTACAAGTTTTATAAACAATTGATATTAGTTAGACATTTCAACTTCCAAGACCTGGTTGGTCGTTTTGATGTGCATATCTTCTTCTTTTTATCACCAAATATTGTAGCTTGAGGCAAATTGTAATGAGTTTATGCTCTTGTTTGCAGCGACTTGTGCCGAAACTATCTATCGGGCACAATTCCAATGGAGTGGGCTTCAATGCCACACCTCACTTCCATGTTAGCTCTCTCTCTCTCTCTCTCTCTCTCTCTCTCTCTCTCTCTCTCTCTCTCTCTCTCTCTCTGGTGCTTCTTCATCTTCATGATTTGCGAGTAACTTTTGAATTTTTTCTTTCTCTCAGCTCGCTCTGCGCGAATAATTTGTCTGGGATTTTACCAAGTGGGTTACAAAACTTCAAGAATCTGACATTTTTGTACGTCTCACTCAAACTGTTTCCCCCAAACTTGTAGGAATGTCCATTATATTACATCTAATATTTGCATTAAATTTTTCAGAGGGATTGAAGCAAACCAGTTCTCTGGTCCGATACCTGATGAGATTGGTAATTTGACCAACTTAACAGGAATGTAAGACCCTTTTGCATCCTAACCATTTTTGGTTTCATGAAAAAAGAAAAAAAAAAAACTGTAGTTTAAAATTGGATTTTGCAGGCATATTGGGTCCAATCAATTTACAGGAAGCTTGCCTAGCTCTCTCGCTAGACTGGTTAAACTTGAGGATTTGTAAGTTGTTGCTGTACTTGGAAATTGAAATTTTCAAAAACTTGTTTTGCTTGTCTTTGTAACTGGAAATGCTAATCTTATAGTACACTTCAAATATTAGTAAATTCATCAAGTTCTTGAGGATAGGGATATATTTTGCCGGAGGTTTGAGGAAGTTGTTATTTTATTGGCAGCTAGAGTGAAATAAAAATTGTTTGATTTATATATTCTTTGTTTCTTCGAAATGATTTGACACTTAAACGAATATGAAGAGATATTCAAGAAAACCGATAGAGTAGTCTAAGAAGATAAGCTTTACAAATCTCAAAACTCGTTGTTTGTTCTCATTTTTGCAGTAGGGTAAGTGACAATAACTTTAATGGCACCATCCCTGGATATATTGGCAACTGGTCTGGGCTTAAAAAGCTGTAAGCTTGTCCTTCACCAATTATTGTAATGTGATCTTGTGGTTTGCGTTTTCGAGCACCATCTAACTTGTGTGCCGGTTATGATCAGCAGGTATCTGTACGCAAGTGGACTGAAAGGACCTTTTCCTGATGCGGTGGCCCGTCTAGAAAATCTCGTTGAACTGTAATTAACCTACATTCAATAGATTAGCACAAGTAAAATGACTGATGTTCTAAGCGTTATATTTCATATGCAGGATTATTAGTGATACGACTGGGATAAATTCCTTTCCAAATATATCCAGCAAAGCCATCAAAACCCTGTAGTTGTCCAAAGATTCTTTTCTCGTCTTGACGAGGCTTGATTCTATCTGAAAAATTCTAACTAAAGTCTCTGTCCCTGTTCCAGGATTTTGAGGAATGTGAGTTTGTATGGTTCGATTCCTTCTTACATCTGGACTATGCAAGAGCTAAGGATTCTGTAAGTTCTTTTTGATCACAAGTGAAAAGACTTCCTCAGTTTAATATACTCCACATTTACCTGCTGAGAAATTTGTGTACTACTCATGAGTCATGACATTGTTCATATATATGCTAATACTTTTTTTGGACTATATCAGTTTTATCTATATATAGATTGGTAAGCACATGAATAAAGAAGAAAAATGGTAGAGTGATTTGCAAGTATGAGATGATCTATGTAGGAACTTTTGTGGAATCTTGAGATTTATTATGTTCACATTTTTTCTAGTGATTTATCGTTTAATAAGCTGACTGGTGAAGTTCAAAGAGTACAAAGACAACCAAGAAATATATCGTTTTAATGCGAATCATGCATTGAAAGAGCTCTTTAATATGTTAATTCGCATTGTAAGTACACTCTTCTGCTTTTTATTTTGGAACAAGCAAGAACCAAGAACATATAGAACTTTCTTGAAATTCTCACTTTCAAATACTGCAATGGAAATGGTTTAAATTTGTTAAGATGATCAAGTGCCTAACTATTTTGCTAGTCTTGTCATACAGAAGTGGGCTTCTTCCCTGCGCTGGTTCAATAAACTGCACTCGTTGTAAGTACATAATGAGAAAATCTCTGCTTAGTTAGTTAATTAGTCTCTTTTTGTTGATGGTGATAATCATTATGGAATGTAGATCATCGATTTCTACATATAAATTGTGGTGGAGACAAGATAGTTATCACAAACTCTTCTTATGAAACCACTTATCAACCTGATAACTACAAATTCAACGCGGCAACAAATCAGCGCTTTGGAAACTGGGGAATCAGTAACACTGGTGCATTCACGGATTATCTTAGTGAGGAGGAGCAGTTCATCTTTTCAACTAGTTTACCACTATCTGGAAATGCTCCTGATATTTATAAGACTGCGCGTCGATCTGCTCTCTCTTTAGCTTATTATGCATTTTGCTTGGAAAATGGACCTTACAATGTGAAACTACATTTTATGGGGATTCAGTTTTCTGATCAAGAACTATATAGCCGTCTTGGCAGACGCATATTTGATGTCTATGTTCAGGTAAATTAAGTGTCACTATATATATAATAGAATTGTTTTAACAAGCATAATAGATTGTTGTTCATTTGCTTTGTCATTTTTCTTCCGTGTTAGGGAGAATTGTTCTTGAGAGATTTTAACATCAAAGAATTGGCTAATGGGACACTAAAGCCTCTTGTTAAAGAGATAAAATCTGTTAATGTGAGCGATCATACGTTAGAGATTCGTTTGTATTGGGCGGGGAAAGGGACAACTCTCATTCCTAAAAGAGGAAATTATGGTCCTCTTATCTCTGCAATCTCCTTGTGTCACAGTAAGTATTTGACTATCTCAAGTCTCTGCATTTGTAACCTTATTGCATTGCATCTCAAATGACCACAACTTCAAATTATCACCTTCATCTTCTTGACACTAGTTCCTGCCAACGAATGCTAATATTCATCTTCTTCATAATGTCAGGTTTGGAACCACGATGTGGAGGTCGACCAAAAAACACACTAGTTTGTTAAAGATATTTTTCTGAAGCATGGTGTTTGTATTTACACTTTTAGTGTCTCATTTTCAGCGGAGAAAACAAAACGTCACACTAATTATCCACTAATTTTTGGGGTAACGGGTGCCTTGGTAACAATTATTCTCTTGGTTTTGGGATTTTATGCTCAGAAAAAATGCAGAGGAGAAAAGAACAAGAGAGAAAGAGGTATCAGAGTTCACAGACTATATAGGAATCCATTCCTCATATATCTCATAGCATTATTGATGATTTTCACTTGAGAACATAGATTTGAGAGCCCAGGGTCTGCAAACGGTTTGGTTTACTTGGAGGCGACTCCAAGCTGCAACAAACAATTTTGCTCAAAGCAACAAACTTGGAGAAGGAGGTTTTGGATCCGTATTCAAAGTAATGTTAAAAGATACCAAGTTCTTCTCAAACGTATATACGTACCTGAGAAAATAAGGTTGTTTCTGATATGAGAAACTTAATGCAGGGAGAGCTATCAGATGGAACAGTCATAGCAGTCAAGCCAAGGAAACCGCGAATTTGTGAATGAGATAGGAATGATCTCAGGTCTGAATCATCCAAACCTTGTCAAACTTTACGGATGCTGCGTCGAGAAGAATCAATTGCTGCTCGTCTATGAGTACATGAAAAATAATTCCCTTGCTCTTGTGCTATCTGGTAATTAAAAAGTCATTCAGATTTTCTTTACGTTAGTCTAAATTCAAATGTAGTACATGAAACCGATATCATTTGTCGTTGGTTTACATCCATCACCAGGAAAAAGCCCCCTGAAACTGGACTGGGAAGCAAGACAAAAAATCTGTCTGGAAATCGCAAGAGGACTTGAATTCCTCCACGAAGGATCAATGATCAAGATGGTTCACCGTGACATAAAAACAACTAACGTGCTTCTAGAGGTTGACTTTAATGCAAAGATATCGGACTTTGGATTGGCTAGGCTCCATGAAGAAGAACACACTCACATTAGCACTAAAGTTGCAGGAACCATGTAAGTGTAGAGTATAAAATAAAAACCGCACCATGGCCGATGAAATATATATAGCTCAGTGTTTGTTTCTCTTATAATGCAGCGGATATATGGCTCCAGAATATGCATTATGGGGTCAACTGACAGAGAAAGCAGATGTGTACAGCTTTGGAGTTGTGGCAATGGAAATTGTTAGTGGAAAGAGTAATACGAAACAACAGGGAAGTGCTGATCACGTCTCGCTTATCAATTGGGTAACCGTCGATCTTTTCTTTCTCTTTAACCCATTTGATTCACTATTTTTATAGTTTCTATAAGTTTACTTAAACCTGTTTTTACATCAAATCTCAGGCGCTAACACTGCAACAGAAAGGGGACATAATGGAGATCATAGATCCAATCCTCGAAGGTGATTTCAATAGCAAAGAAGTAGTGAGGATGATCAAAGTTTCTCTCCTTTGCACAAACTCATCTCCTTCTTTAAGACCAACAATGTCAGAGGCCGTGCAAATGCTTGAGGGAGAGATCGAGGTAACACAGGTTTTTTCTGATCCTGATTTATATGGACACAACTGGAGCATCTCAAAGCGGAGGGACATTGAAACACGTGGTATCTCAAGCACGTCTGATGTGACCGATCAAACAACAACGACAATGCGATCCTCCTTTTCGGGTTATGATCTCTACCCGTTATACCCTGAATCCATGATCCTAAACTCCACAGTAGAGTTTTCTTCCACGTCATTGTAAAATTAAAATCAGTAGACAATGCCTTGCCTCTTATAGGAGAAGAAATGTATGTGAAGTTATCGAATATTTATATGAAAACACATATCAATATGAATGTTTGTTAAAATTGAATTATATCTTTATATGAAAGTCTCTAGCTCTCACTGGATCAAACTCTCTTTCTTCTCTCTTTGGTTCAACACTTTTCCGAACTCATTTCTCTCCAGTAACACGAAAGAGTAACTCGATGATCACTAACAAAACCTAAAAGTTTGATTGCTCATCTTTATCTCAACTTGTTTCTATTGAAAAAAAGATTGGAGTAGAGGAAAATAATCAGTTAGCTCACCAGCGATCGTTGCACCGGCAGACGCCATTTTTGAACAAGTGGTATCTCTGTGCATCTCGCTTAAACAGATCTCTGCCAGTTATGACTGACATCAACTTCATCATATTGTGGCAATCCCCAACAATACGAACATTAGTTATCAGAGTGATTGAAGATCGAGGCTTTGACTTAAGAAGACTTTCAACAACTGCGATTTCCTCTCTGTAACCAAAAACCTGTTCTTTATTCCCCATCACCATGATCAAAGTACGATAAAACCTAGTGTCAGGAACATAACCCATTTCTTTCATTTGTGACCTCAGGCTCATTAGTGTCTCGTAAATAATATTCATTTGTGGATGTGAAGTATCTACCGGCCTAAAATTATAACACCAATATGGTTCAGACCGATTGCTCGGTTCCTTCTTCACATTGTCTGATGCTTTGGTTACTACAAGACCTGCACTTGACACTTTGTCCAATCTTGTAGCATCTAGCTTCTCAACTAACTCAGCACATCTATCTCCAAGCTCTACATCTCCATGAACGCGAGAAAGATTCATTAGTGTTTCCCAAACATCAACACTCGGTTCCATCGGCATTCTCTCAACAAAGTTTAGTGCTTCATCCAAGTGACCAGATGTTGCAAACATCTTGGTAACACTATGGTAGTGTTCCATTGAAGGTATGATTCCATATTCTCTGTTCATAGCTTCAAATTGCAGTGATCCTTCCTTAAGATCTCCTGTCAAAGTACACGTAGATAACACTTGGTTGAATATCTCTCCGTCTGGTTTGTTCCCTTCTTCTTTAAAACGAGTAAACAAATTGATTGCTTCTTCACCAAATCCATTGTTAACAAAACACGTCATCATAACACACCAAGTCTCCGAATTCCTCTTAGGCATTTCGTCGAACACTTTGAGCGCATGATCAACAGATCCGCAACAAGAATACATCTTGATAATCGCGTTACGAGAACCAACATCACAAGGAGAAACCAGAGCAATAATACACTCATGAACAACTCTAGCTGCTTCCAAAGCTTCTGGTTCACCGCATATTTTAGCTAACCTTAAGAGTCTAATCAAATCCATAGCAAAACCCTTATTCTCCAAGTAATCTAAAACCTCTACAGCTTCTCTCCAATTCCCTTGATTACATAACGAATCAAATGTCTCAATAGTAACATTTTGAGCAACACTTGGAGAAACTGTTGTTTTGTACTGACCTACGATTGGATTCTGCGTCCATGTGCGTTCGGTTATGTATCGCTCAAGCCGATTGATTATCTCTGTTCTGCCATAGTATGTGAGGCTGTCATGCTGATGAGAGGGAGCTCCACGCGAACTGAACCAGCGGCTTCTACTCTGTGTTGCTAACGCTAAAAAGGGTTTCGAAAGTTTGAGCTTTCCACACCACAATCGCACCATTTCTACGATGGTAAACTCCAGTGACGAAGAACACAGAAAGCAACAGATCTTGCAGGCAAAAATGATCAGCGTCGAGTCGAAACCCTAATAAAGGCGTGAGCTCCAAGTTAAAATTAAGAGATACTGTAAAATGATTTTTTGTGGTTTGGTAAACCGGGTCCGGTCAAGGGAAGAGAGACCATTCGATACGCAGCGTTTTGGAGCTGACGTCAGTGAAATTCACTCTTAACCACCAATTTTGTTTTTCCTCTGATTATTTGTGTGTTGGGGACAAACAGTCTCTCGACTCTAAAATCAGGTTCTTTCTTCTTCTTCTTCCTCCTCATGTGTTGTGTGTTTCTAATTAGTTGAGCTACTGATTGATGCTTTTCTGGTTTTTACTGGTACTGAATCAATCAAAGTTGGAAAGTTTTAATTTTGGAGTTTTCTGTTAATTGCTCACCCCAAATGGTGTTGTATGAATTTATGGGTTTGATGTTGATTAGTGTAAATTAGCTTAGGTGGAGAATTTAGGCTTTTACCGTCTTCTTCAAAGCTAATTGTATATTCGTGAGCTAATTAGAAAAGAATTTCAGAATCTTTGTTGTATATATTCTCAAGGCTATGACTAAATTTTGATTTATAGATATATGATTAGGTTTCAGATTTGAGGAAAATGCAAGAAATAATCTGCTTCAAGCTATATGCCTAATATAAATAACTAACCTAAGGCTGATCATAGCATATTAATAAGGCTGAAAAATCTCATTTTGCTCAGAACATTTTTAGGTGGCAAAACAAAATCAATGGCTCTGGTGGTACCAGGTGGCAAAGCAGCCACGATGCCGCTTCATGCCAATGCTCTTCCTCTAAGTATCAACACCAAATCAAGATTCCTAAGCGCATCTGCATTTCCGCTATTCTCGTCCACTCCTCACCTCCCTTCCAGATCCCTCTCCATCCGCCTCTCGCCGAATGTTTCCCGCTCTCTCACTGTGGTATCTTCTGTTTTGTCAGAGGACAGAGCTACCGGGGTTAGTGGCTCTGGGACAGATGCATTCAAGCTGACTTACTTGGAGGTGTGGCTCACTTTAAGAATCTTTACTACTTGAGCATTTTTATTTCCATAAACAAATCTTGCATCTTATTTGATTATTACTATGTCTTCCATTTTGTGGGTGTTAGGGCAATAGCTGGCTATGGGAGACAGGTGGATTGAAAATCCTAGTTGATCCGATTCTTGTGGGGAATTTGGACTTTGGAATCCCATGGCTTTATGATGCTGCCAAGAGATATTTGAAGGGCTTCAAGGTAACATTTTGTAGGGAATTCATTTGTAAAGAAACATGAATCATCATCAGGTTCCGAGTATATTCAGGATAACCAAAATAGATGAGCTTTCTCTCATGGAATCTAAGTTGCATTGCAGTTTCATCATAAGTTTCTAAGATTTATATTCTGTGCAGCTTGATGATCTCCCTGAAGTTGATTGCCTGCTCATAACTCAAAGCCTTGATGATCATTGTCATTTGAATACCCTTAGGCCACTCTCTGAGAAATATCCAGGCATAAAGGTTATTGCAACTCCAAATGCTAAGCCTTTGCTGGATCCTCTTTTTAGAAACGTAAGTGACTTGTTTCAGATTTCCTAGTCTAAATCAGAATTGCAGAGTATCTTCAACAAAATTTAAAATGAGAAAGAGTTAAATATAAGGGTTGCTGAAATATTACGGTAGGTCACCTATCTGGAACCTGGAGATAGCTATGAGCTAAATGGAAGAAACGGTTCTAAGGTTCGAGTTAAAGCCACAGCAGGACCTGTCCTTGGTCCACCGTGGCAACGCCCTGAAAACGGGTAATAGTCAAAAACTCTCATCAAGCTTCCAATTGCTCCATATATATGTTCTGCAACAAGAATTTATAACCTGGTCATGGTTACTTCAGTTCTGCTTCTTTTGTGTTTCGCAGGTATCTCCTTGTATCCCCTGAAGATCAGATATCTCTCTACTACGAACCGCATTGTGTATGCAACATGGAACTTCTGAAGAATGAAAGAGCCGACATTGTAATCACACCGGTCATCAAACAACTACTCCCACGATTTACTCTTGTTTCTGGTCAAGAAGACGCTGTCCAGCTCGCCAAACTCTTGAAAGCCAAGTAAATAACAATCTATCGTCTTTTCTTTATAATCTCAAGAAAATGTATCTACACTCTTGCATTTTGTAGTCATCAATCAGGTTTATCTTGGACATTTAGGTTTGTTGTGCCGATGCAAAATGGCGAGCTTGAAGCAAAGGGACTTTTAGCAAGCATAATAAAGAAAGAAGGAACTATTGAGTCATTTAAGGTGCAGCTTTCTCTTAACCCAAAAAGAAAATGAAATCCAAATCAAATATTGATTCCATCTGGATCAATGGTGACATAATGTTTTGGATGTTTGATTTGTGAATGCAGGAGTTATTGTTAAAAGAGCTCCCAGAAGCTCAAGTATTGGAGCCTATAGCAGGTATACCGCTAGAGATCTTGGCTCCAACTTCAGACATTTAGAAAGTAAACGGTACATGAGAGGATACACATGTAAATATACACATGTGAAATGAAGCTTTTTAGATGAAAGGTAACAGTTGGAAATAGATCGTGGAGAAGAGGAGAGATTTTGGAGGTTTAATTAAGTGATGATGAAGACACTTTGTATACGTTGATCTATTTAAAGATAATTTCATATAAGGAGGTACTTTAAGAATAATTAATGTATCATACTAATGAATTAGTGACATGTTCCAGTCAGGGCCGGCTCAATTATTGACGAGACCCGGTGCTAGATCTGTCCCAAAGAAATTAAGGGTCCTTAGACAAAAAAATTTCTGTCCCAAATAATACAAATTCGGTATTATTATAATTTAAAAAAAAATACCGAATTTGTATTCAAATAATTGTTGTTTTTAATTATAGAAATGTTATTTTCTTAAACTTGGATTTTTTTTATATTGTTTTTATTTTTTTAACAAAATTTGAGATTTTTAAGGTATAAATTCTATAAAACGTTTATAATACTCAATAAAATTTGAAATCTATAAAAATTAAAAATATAAATTTTATGAGAACCATTTAAAATCAAACATCTAAATTGACTCGAATTATATTTTTTTCAAACAAAGTATTATTAGAAAGTAAAATAACAAAATGATGTTTAGTTTCACGGGACGGGGTTATATGGTAAGACGAGTTTGGGTCGATATTAATATGGGACGGTATACCACGGGTGAAATCCTATAACTAACAATCAAAATACAATTATACAATCTTTAACATACTAAACAAAACAAACAATATTAACAAAACAACTACAACTTAAACTTTAAAGTTTTTAGTTACAAAAATATCGACTT